TGTGTGTGTGTGTGTTTTACTGTGAAGTCAATCTCACCCATAAAATGTTTATGAGTGGTTTCCACTCATTTCTAAGGTTGTTTTTTGAATTAAATCACACTTCCACATAAATAAACCAAAAAAATATATTCAGTAGTTACTGAACTTGTTGATCAGACCAAATATATATTACAGAAAGAAATGTAGTTGTCCATGAATAGAGACAATTATCTATTTTATTATTACTTTAATGTTAGCAAAATGGTGGAGAGTAATTAAATGCATTTACTGAAGTACTGTAATTAGTACTTTACTTCTACTTCACTGCATTTCAGAGGGAAATATTGTACTTGTAACCCCACCACATTAGTTTGAAAGCTATTGTTCTTTATAAGTAAACTTTCACATACAACATATAATTTTTTTATAAAATCTGATTTATTGGTATTGATCAAAATGCCCAACACTATATAAAGTAATTAAAATGTGCTATAGCTAGATCTTATTGTACATATAATTGCATCAGTAACATCAATAATAAGTATATGTGACATAATTATTTCAGTTGTTTGGTACATTTACTTTAACTGGTAGAATACTGGTTTAAATTAGACTGTGTAATGATTTGTATTAAAAAAAATAAAAGAGTAAATTCTGTGTGTGCATATTTTGCAGCATTATTGTGTCAAATGTATTGATTTAAAAGCTTTACAATGCCACAATTAATGCGTAATTCTAAATGTAAGCAATAACCAGAAATTATTTGTCCTTTTCTTCTGTTTAAATCCTAAAATGTACTTCTTTTTATTTTATTTTAACTTTACCACTTTAATTTGGTTGAAGCTTCCCTTAGGCCCACCTCCCCTCAGGAGTTTTGACCACATTTGCAACTATGATCCCCAGAAAATAAAGAAACCAAAACCTGTGTATGACATGGAAATAAAGAGGGAGAGTGAAAAATGATACTGAAAAAGTATTAACATGTTAAAGCCCAGTTCCTAGTTATTACCAAACCCTTCACACCTCTGGGATCCCCAATCTCACTCTTTTATCCAGTACGATAATGAGATTCAAAACACTCCTGCATTGGATTGTCTTGCAAAGTGCTCTATTGGCTGCACACACTCATACACATGTAAGCCAGTTTCTCTCCAGCCTGGGAAGAGTTAATGATCCTACACCTGTCCTATCAGACACCTGTTTCAGTCCTCTCAGCCAATCAGAGAAGAGAGGGAAACTCACTGCTGGAATGAAATAAATCTGGGCCCCCGTTCAGAGGGAATCACAACACTTGACTCATCTGTGTGTCACTGCTCTGCTCTGCTAGACTGCCAGACTCCCTGACACAGAAAGAGAGAGACGCACCTACAAACAGAAGAAGAAGTTGATATTAAAGGAACCTATTCCAGCTGACGTGGACTGGAGACATGACCAAAGAGACTGAGTAAGTTTTGAGAGGGTATTTTTTTCCTTTTGTGGCTTAAAATTTGTGGATTTTATTTATTTATTTTTTCAAATTGCCTTTTTTGTCTACATGATGAAAACTTTCCGATTTAGACTTTGTGTAATACAGTAAATAGCAGATGTTAGATTCCAGTCTGGGGACCAGAAACCCCCCTTCTTCCTATTTGCAATGAGACCCCCATGTGAAAGATCCCTGTTTTAAGAAAGGGGTGTTTTGCAGTGGGAAATTGATATGGATAGTTGTAACACCCACACACAGACACACACACAGTTGGGTCTGTGGTGGTAGTGGGTCTGTTTCGGCTTGTGTTGTCACTAACCTAGGGGCCACAGAGCACAAAAGGAGACCGGGAAATAAGAATCTCCTCTTGAGGTGTTGGACAGAGACAGAGGGCAATGACAGCATGTAATGCATTGAATTACATAATGGCGAAACCCTAGACACGAGCCCCCCCTCTGTGTCTGTGTAAAAACATCTGCACTCGGCTGGTTTTTAGAGGGAATTGGAGAGTACTAATGGAGCTGTGTGGGGTTGACTGAGGCTGCTGTGTATGAGAGGGAGAGACAGGTGCATCTTAGAGCAGGTGTATGAGTTTTCTTTTGGTATTTTAATTTAGCTGAAATAACAAGGAAACAGACCTAACTAGGGTTATAATCTGGAGTCAAAGCTAAAGTTAAAATTTACAGTATCCCGTGCACAAATACAGTATTTCTAGTTTTCCAGGTGCTGTGTTAAAATGCAATGCTCTCATTAATCCTTGTGAGAGATCCTTGGATTTCCTTAAGCTGTGGTTCTGTTGTGGTCGTGAACACCTGTGGTCTTTCTCCTCCTGTCAGCACATTTAATTAGCTGCTTATCCAGAGTAAACTGCAGCTATTTGTGCTACTTCAGACAAACTCCAAAGGGAGCTTATCCAGGTAGGCAGGATATTTACAATCCAATGTTACTGCGAGTCTGTCCAAACAAATCCAATCCTCAGAATCCCAGGCTTTATTTCTTTTTTACAAGTGATACGGGAAAACCAGAGCTCACCTTGATGATGGTTGTGGGTTTCTATTTACTTAGTAAGAAAATCCTATCATCTCTTTGGAGATCTATGCAAATAAGAGGGGTTTATACAAGATTCAAGATGTGTTTATGTGTGTGCTGGGGGGTAGCGGGATGTTAGTGGGTGGCCCCTTGGCCTTTTAAACTTTTTTGACACCACTGCTTCTGAGGGATGTTAGTCAGCACTGTGGTTTTGCAATCGAAACCCTCCATGCTCAGGGGCAAGTATGTGCAGTGCCCGAAGGCTCAGGTACTGCTGTTAAACGTACTCTCACTCTGTCAAACCCTGCGTGTCAAAGATTTCAAATATCTGAATACATCTAATATTCCCTTTTGGACCACTACATGATTCTACACTTTGACTAATCAATCACTGTCAACTTTTTCCTCCTCTCTACAGGACTCTGGGACTGGTCTTTCAGAGCGAGAACTTCAACTATAACCGTTACACCAACCACATGATGGACTCCTGGTCCTACTTGGAGACCACTGTCCCTGAGCCAAACCACTCTAAACCCAGACTCCACCCAGGAGACGACCTGGCAGCATTAACTATGCTTTATGAACAGTGCAAGGTAGATAATGAGAGTCATTAGTAATGAGAGAGCAAACGCTGAGATTAATTCTAACTTTCTCATTTGATCACTTCTTTATTATGTAAAATTTGTTTATTATTCCAGAACCAGAAAGAGCAGAAGATGGCTGTCTGCAACCGCGCTGGCAACATCTGCAAAACAGAGAGGTAAGCCACATAATCCAGATGTTCACCAAACAGTTGCTGCTGTAAAATCATTCATGTGTGTTTATATAGCTTCCACCATCCCACCCCCTGCTGTCACTGAATGAAATGTATTAGAGAGTGTTCACACAGAAAGAGAAAGGCAGGGCTTTGGGGGGGGGGGGG